AGCAGACTGCCACATCTTTCTCCTTTGGAGCACGTCTGGTGGGATAGAACCACCAACCTTTCAGTTAGCAGCCAAGCACTTAACCACTGCACCACCAGGGCTCGAGAAAGAGAGACCCTGGGTGTGCAAATAGTTAATGTGCTGGGCTGCTATGAAAGGTTAGTGGTTCAAGTCCACCCAGAGGCACCTCGAAAAAGCCTGTTGACCTACTTCCAAAAAATTAGCCATCAGCTACCCTATGGAGCACAGTTCTACTCTGTTACACATGGGGGCACCATAAGTCGAAATTGACTCAATGGCAAATGGTTTTTTACACATGTATACATATATATGTGATGTGTGTTTGTGTGAGTATATATGTATATATTTGTAACTTGAGCCTAGAGGTCTTCTATTGGCCCTGTCTTTGCTGACTGTTTTTACTTCTGAGTCAATGAACTAAGAAAAGAATGAATGATTTAAAACAAATCACAAAGGATGGTTCTCAAAACTTAGAATAATTCTCTCAAAATAACTGACCTTGATAGAGTAAAAAGCATAACAATAATCCGTTTTTGTGTGTATTCTGTCACAATTCTCACAAATTTGTTACAACCAAATGCAAAAGCTGAAGGCAACATCTTAAGCTTCTACTAATTAAGACATTTTTATATTGGACAAAAAACGAGGAAAATTAAGCAGCTTTCTGCTGGTTCAACATTGTCCAATACTAAAACCAAGAAAGGGTAAATTTTGTGGTATATACATGCAATGCAATCCTATGCAACGATCAAGAATCGTGACCAGTGTGTGAAACATAACATGGGTGAATCTGGAGGACATTATGCTGAGTGAAATAAGTCAATCACAAAAGGACAAATGTGGCATGATAGCACTTGTATAAAAAGTCAAGAATAGGTTTACACACAGAAAACAACATTCTTTGATGGCTACCAGGGATGAGAGTGGGAGGGAGGGAGAATCATTTACTAAACAGTAAACACGTGTTAATTCTGGTAAAGGCAACACACAGTATTGGAGAAGTCAGCACAACGTGATCAAGGTAAATGAGGACACTGAGGGATACGGACGAATAAAGGACAACTAGGGTAGATGCTATAACATATGCAATCCTGCAACAACAACAGTAACAACCAAAAACTTGTGAGTGGTTACACAGGTAGGTATGAATGCAGCATAGGTGTGGGAGGGTGTATGGGAGTACATGCGCATGCATATGTAGGTATGTTTGTGGGCATCTGTATATTCATATTTGTATGTAGTGCCTATATATTCATACATATAATGGAGCACATAGAGGACAAAGTTATGGAAACATCTTAGACATATATTCAAACACCTGGTGGGACTAAGTTACTGGGCTTGAAGGCTAAGGATCGTAGTGTTGGGGAACATCTAGGTCAATTAGCATAACAAGGTTCATAAAGATAATGTTCTACATACCAGTTTGGTGAGTAGTGTCTGGGGTCTTAAAAGCTTGTGAGTGGCCATCTAAGATACAACTGTTGGTCTCTTCCTATCTGGAGCAAAGGAGAGTGAAGGAAACCAAAGACTCAAGGAAACTATGAGCCCACAGAGCTAATGGCCCCCATGAACCACTGCCTCCTCTAGCCTGAGACCAGAAGAACTAGCTAGTGCCTGGCTACCACTAGCAACCACTCTGAACAGGGATACAATACAAGATCCTGGTTAGAATGGGAGAAAAATGGAGAACAAAACTCAAATTTATAGAAAGCACTAAAATTACTGGACTGATAGAGACTGGAAGAACCCCCACAAGACACCCTTTTAACTTGGAACTGAAGCCACTCCCGGGGTCACCTTTCAGCCAAACGGTAGACTGCCCTACAAAATAAACAGTAACACCAATGAAGAATGTGCTCCTTAGAGCAACCAACTACATGAGACCAAAGAGGCAACATTTGCCCAAAAAAAAATATAAAAAGTCAAGGAGGGGCAGGGACCCTGGAGGCATGGCAATGGGCACGGCAGGGTGGAAATGGGGAGGGTGCTGACACATTGCGGGGATAGCAACGAATGTCATAGAAAAAACTGTGTATAAATTGTTGACTGGGAAACTAATTTGCTGTGTAAACTTTCACCTAAAACACAATAAAATGTTCAAAAAAAGGGGGGTAGATTTCAAATTAGGCAAAGAATCATTTATAAACACCACATCTCTCAACTTGGATTTACACAAAAGCGAGATGAAGGAAATTTCACATTCACATTCTTCAGTGCGGATCTAGATTTTAGCAATTGTGGTGGTTGAGTAAAAGCAACCTTATGCACACAACATACACAACTTTCAAAGATGGAAAACTTTTGAATTCATAGAAGCTGAGAAATCAAACCCCGAATCTTTTTTTGGTTGTTGATGAAAAGCCCATCTTCACAAAAAGAATCATCTATAGGAATATGAAAAAAACTAAACCAGTTATCGTCGGAGTCCTGGTAGTGAAGTGCTTAAGAGCTACAGCTGCTTGCCAAAAGGTCAGCAGTTCAAATCCATTAGCTGCTCCTTGGAAACCGTATGGGACAGTTCTACTCTGTCCTGTTGGGTTGCTAAGAGTCAGAATCGACTCAACGGCAATGGGTTTGGCTTTTGGTTTAGGTCAGTTATAGCCAAGGTGATTCTGACTCATGGTGACCCCAAGTGTATCAGAGTAAAAGTATACTCCACAGGATTTTCAGTTGCTGATGTTTTGGAAGTAGATTTCTGGCTCTTTCTTCCAAGGTGCATCTAGGTAGAGTTGAACCTCCAGCCTTTCAGTGAGCAGCCAAGTGTGTTAATGTTTTGCACTCCATGGGAATATTAGAATGCTTAAAGAACAAAACAAAACAAAAAACTCGTGAAACTTATTTTGGAGTTTGCTTTTATATGAGGATGAATGGTAGACTGTATGTCCAGAGACTACATTGTAGATCAAGGTTCCTGCTCTCAAGAGGTCCAGTATACCTATATATCTCATGTTTGAAATTCCTACTAATGTCCTCTTTTGAAGACTTGAGTGTTAGTTGAAATGAAAATATTATCTGAATGAGATAACACAATAAAAAATTACAATAATTAACATATTAGTAAAAGGTTTATTAGAAAAGCTATAGTCATGTTTAAAGGACCTTAAGGGGCTGGAACTTTGGAGAGCAAGGTGTTGAAAGAAAATTTCAAGGCAAAGTGAGAGAAGCATTGAAGTATGGGCTGAAACCAGGTGTTTTAGGCTGGGTTCTGTAGAGAAGCAACACCAGTGATGCATACATATACATATATACATATGATACATATACATATATATGCACATATATATGAGAGAGAGAGAGATTTATGTCAAGGGAATGGCTCACATGATTGTAGAGGCTGGAAAGTCCCAAGTCTGTGTTCCAGGCTGAAGACTTCTCCTGACTCATGTAGCTGCAGGGGCTGGTGAACCCAAGATGGCAGGTCAGACAGGAGGCCTCTGGCTCACAGACTGTGGAGGCCAACAAATACCAAGATTGGCAGGTAAGCTGCTAGCTCAAGTCCCAAGAACTGGAGGTCAGATGAACAGGAGCCAGCTGCAGGATCCAGAGCAAGCAAAAGCCAGCGAGCTTTGCCAAAAAGTCCACATATACTGGATACAGGCTACACC